CTCAAAAAATTGTAAAACTCTGAAGAAAGAAATTGAAGAAGATACAAACAAATGGAAGTGTACACTGTGCCCATGGACAGGAAGACAATATTGTGAAAACATCCAAAGCAATCTATAGATGCAATGCAATTCCTGTCAAAATACCAATGGCATATTTCACAAAACTAAATAAATATTCCAAAAAAAATGTATATGGAACCACAAAAGACCCTGAATAACCACAGCAATCTTGAGAAAGAACAAAGTTGGAGGAAACATGCTATCTATAATAATAAAAGCGTAAGATGCTAATTAGAGCAGACATCCTTCTGGATGACCTTCCGGACGAAGCTGTGGCAGTGGGGGCCGAGGCAGAGGCAGAGGCAGCGGCGGCAGGGGCCGAATACCTTGCAAGAATTTCGTGCATTGGGCCTCTAGTCTATGTATATAAAAGCCTAAGCACCTGAAGAACAACCAGAACTGGAACAACAGTAACCACCGGTCGCTATGATGTGCACTGACCATCAGGGGCAGATGCTCAACGCAGGAGCTGCCCCCTGGTGGTCAGTGCGCTCCCACAGTGTGAACACTGCTCAGCTGACCAAGCCATCCCGGTGGCCCATCAGCCTTGTGGCAACCACTCACTCTCTCAGTAGTCCTGCAGGTCCAATCTCTGAAGAATGAGCCAGGCACCGAAGGACCAGCACCACTGGCATGATCCTGACAGCACTGTCGGCCTCCTAAAAGTCAGCCTCGGGCACCAATCCACTACCCTCCCTAGACGCTCCACAAGGAAGAAACAATATAAAAGCAGCTGTCAGGTGGCTCCCGACAACCAGCGTGAATGTCAGCGGGGCGTTTCCAGATCCCAGGCCAGCAAGGGTGTCCTACCACCTGCCCACCTACCCAGAGGGCCAATCTCGTACCCCTCCCCCCCTTGGGACCCCACCCATGCCTGAATTCATGCACTGGGCCACTAGTTTGATGTAAAATCACCAGTACCACATGGGTTTACAGATGTTTTCTAACATTCAAAGAGCATATAATGATAGATCAATATCATTAAAAAATAGATGCAACATTTTAAATAATTTACTTATCAATATAAACAAAGCTTCAAAAATATATGAAAAAATAATATTTATTGTAGAAAAGCAATGATATTTACAAGTATTAGTTTTAATAGTAAAGCTATTTGCTTTCAAATCAGCCAGTGTGGCTTAGTGGTTGAACATTGACCTAAGCACCAAGTGGTCACCAGTTCAATTCCTGGTTGGGGCATATGCCTGGGGTTTCAGGATTGATGCCCAGTAAGGGTGTGCAGGATTTCTATCTCTCTGTCCTTCTCCCATCCTCCCCCTCTCTAAAATAAATAAAAACATGTTTAAAAATCAGCTATTACCATTTAAAATTATCTAGGAGGATCTAGTGAACTAAAAGAGCCACCTGACCAACAGAAGCCAAAGATACAAATGAAAAGAAGTCCTTTAGGAATATCTGACATGAAAGTGATAATGACTATATATTTTTTCCATCCACACTCACCCCCCTGGATAGCAATGCAATGTCTAAACCAAGAAAAACAAATAAATATCTGTAATTTTCTTGAGTACTTCTGCCTAAGGCTATATGGTCAACAGGGTTAGATGAACCTCTATGATTATTTTCACCCTTAGAAATGATTTTACAATCTGACATATTGGAAATTCCAAGGCCGCTGGGAATGTCTCAGATAATTCTTCCATGAAAAAAAATATTAAACTTTTATTTTTGAAGAAATTGCAGATGGTTTGATTCCATAAGCTTTGATAAATATTGAATTCTTCTAATATAGAACTAAAATGGACTTAAAGTAATATTTCCAAGGAATCGTTTAAAACTGAACTCTGATGTCTCTCTCTACATTTTTATTTTGGGCTAAACTGGTGTTGAATATTAAGTGTTTTTAAGCTGAATTGAGTGTGATTTCATCCTGTGTTCCTATTACTACAAAGACAGTGTTTGGAAACATGTCACACTCTTCAGCAAAAGGAATTGCACTCTAGAGTCCTGATCAGAGAGTACCATTATTTTAGAGTTATAAAACAATTTGAGACATCGTTCCCACCTTCCTACTACTGTAAGAGGGAGAAACGGAAGCACAGAAGTGTGTTCATTGCCTCAGCTTGGTTTTCCTGCAATGACTGTTTTCCCTGTTTAAAGCCCCAGCCATGCTGTCATTATGTCTCTTAGCTCAAGAACCTCTAAAGAAGCAGCATGGTGCCAGCTGTAATTAAGTCCTTCTTGATAATGGTTAGAGACCAGGATGAAGTGACCATCATGATTTGGCTGAGCACATTTCATATGTGAGCTGAAAATACCAGATGCCTGTCTTACGCTTGATATTGTTCATGTCAGGAGGCTCCAGATGGCAAGTATTGTTCTCTGTGGTATTTTTGAGACTTTAGGGCAAACAGCCTCTGTGAAAAATAGAAAGTGCATGAGCCTTGACCTTTTTAAGCACCTGCTGATCAGGGGCTGGCTACAGTAGGCAAGTGTGTATGTTAATAGCAGATATCCTGCTGGTGCAAAATTTTACTACCTATCCAATTTCTGCAGAGCTAGACAATTCCTATAGACTCATCAACATGAAGATGAAAACATCTTTTAAAGGCATGTAGACAACTATTATTTTAATTCAACTCCTAAATGATAACTAGATGTGTATTGTTTTTTTTTTTCAAAAAACTAAAACATGTCACCAGTCCTGAGGGTCTTTATCATTTAAATGCAGGTTTTTGCCAGTCTCCATGCCCCCTTTCTAAATGTGTGGATTTACTTGTTGGGCCATTTGGACCTCAGTGCAGGGAATAGGCATGTGTCTTTCAACTTGGGCAATATTTTCAATGCTTTGTTCAACTTGACTGCTAATTTTGAACCTATGCTTTTTTGTTAGAATATTACTGGTTAAACAAAAAAATATCAATTAAATTGTACAGGCTTACCTATGACAAATTTGTGTTATGCTATTGATGTCTTTAGAAGTGAGTGATTTTATTTTCTGAAGAATTCTTACAAAATGACTCTTTGCCCAGCCAGTGGTGGAGTAGTCAAATATGAGGGCACCATATTTTTTGGCATTTTATTTATAGCTCTATGACTAGTCAGTCAAAGCTTTTTCATTGACTATATTTATCAACTTAAATATATAAAGAATCATTAGAAAAAGGTAACATGGAATTAAAAGCAATGTGATGAAAATAAGCCATGTTATTTTATAAATCTTGATTTATATTTTTGATGGGGTTTAATGTCACAAGGATTGTTTTTATTTGAGTTGCTGAATTGAGCATAACTGAAAAAACTTTTCATTACATTTCACTGTGGTCTATTGAAACAGTCCATGAGTGAATGGTAAAGTCTGGCACAGATGAAGTCATTTAAATAAACATTGAGAAGTTTTTGAAACAGTAGGGTTAGAATGTGGATGCAAATATACGGTGTTATAGCTAGTAGATAATAGTAGGTAGTAAGTAGTGGTAGTAAGCAGTATTTAGTTAAAAATTAGTAGTTAGCAGAGGCTAATCTGACGGAAAACAGGGAGCTGGAAAGAGAAGTAGGAGGAAAGGAAGTCAAATTTCATTAACACAATCCTAAGAAATTACATCAGTCTCAAGAAATGAGAATTTATATGAAACAATCTGTAATTCTTCAATATATTCTTTTCCATTTTGATTGGCTTTGTTGGGCCCATGATAAGTATATCCTTTCTCACTTAGATTCTCACTGTGGTTCTACCCATTTTTTAGTGGACTAGGTTGACTAAAATCCCTAAATAGCCTTCCTTTTGCAACACTGCCCTATCTTATACCACCTCCTTTCTGAGGAATTAGTTTCATCTTTGCCAGGCCAAGAAGACTGGACCAGGTAGTGTAAGGGACACGGAGTTTTCCCCTTTACTTCTCAAAGCCAAGGCTGTCACCCTTGCTCTTTCCTTCCTGCCTGCCTTTCAGAAGCCTTGTCTAACTGCCTTGCTGAAGAATTTATCCCTCTTCCTTGATGCTTATTCCAACTCCTTGTACACCTGTTGCTCAAATTTGTCTCCATTAATATCAAGGCCAAACAAAAACAAAGAGCAAAACCCAACTATATTGTTATTTTTCATAAAATAAAGTTGTTTCTGGAGTACTCCCCTAATTCTACCTTGTACTCTTCCACATAATGTGCTTTTATTCCTGTCCTTGTCTTTACCTGAAATGATCCCCTTTGGTTCTCTGCCATCAACTATTCTACCACTCGTTTAGTCCATTTAGTCCAATGGTGTTTGAATAATACAAAGCAGATGTTTCGTAAGGGGGAATAAGGTCCAACCACAGGAAGTGAGAGAGGGGCAGCAGACAGGTTAGAATCTCCATCCTCAAGCTGAAAAATATCCCATAATAACTATTTTTGCATATTTAGCATATTTGAGTTCTGGTGCTTTAAAAATATTTGAAAATGACAAGTTTAATGAAATTGCAGAGAGATTAAGTGACTTGTCCAAGATTAGTGGCATATTGATGGGGCATTTTTAGGTAAAATAGAATTTGTCATTGTGTTCACAAAGATTTTCTTTCATGTCAATGTAATTTTAAGTTATGGAGTAATTTCTGCCACAATTGATTATTTGTCTCCATCCGAATGATGAATAGACCATGGTTTTGGGGTCCTTTCTTTAGCATTCCAGTTCTTGTGTGTGATACGAGGAAACTTGATTCTACTCTGACACGGAAAGTGGTTTTCAGCTCTTGGTAATGTTGTAACTAAAATCTATGTTGGATAATGTCAGAAAGTTTCATATTGAGTTAGAAGACAGCTTTGATCTGGGGAAATTCCTTGGATGCCTTTCATCCTATGCTGAGAAAGTATCTCCTTCTTAATTAGTCAAATTTCTGGGAGT